AAAATATGGTAAACATCCCAACAGAAAATGGCTAAGAGATGAGCAGGTATTTTAACAAAAGGACAATGCAAATAACCAATAGACATTTCAAAAGGTGATCAACCTCAGGAGTCATTACTAGAAAAACTAGCAAGTGTGAAAAGAGCAGATAGTCCAAGTGTGGATAAGAATGTGGAGTAAGTGAACTCTCACCCATTCCTGCCAGCAGTTTAAAGTGGTTAAAACACCTCGAAAAGCTGCATTTGAAATAGAAATGAAAACACTTATACCCCATGAGAAAATTCAGGGCAAAACTTGAAATGACCTAAAAGGTTCACCTGAAAAATTAAAGAGAATTAGTAAAGCTTCTACCAAATCTGTAAACCTCTATCACAATGCCTGGTACATACAGAATTTACTCAACAATCCAATCCTGTCTTCCCTTTCTGCATGAATGACAAAAGGAGGCTTACAATTTAAGATCAGTATGATTCTCAAACTACATTCCAATGGCTTCTCATCTCACAAAATTAAAAACCAAAATTCTTACAATGATCTGGTACAGACCCATTCTGAACTGTCACCTTAACTAGAAAGCTTGTCTCCAGAATATCGTTCACATATGTCAAAAGTTCATTTGTGTTAGGCTTCTGCCCAAATGAAGCCGTAAAAGACAGATCCTCCCCCATCACCTTACAAAACAGACAGATCCCCCCCCCATCACCTCCACTGGACCCTCACACCTGTGCTAATTCCCTTACCTCATTTTTTCTACCTAGCCTTACCTATCACAAACCACCTAACATTTTAAATGTGCCTATCCCATGCCTTCATCACTGAATACAATCTCCTTGAAAACAAGGACTTTCTCTTTTTCACTGCTATTGGCACTGATAGGTACCTGGCATTGATAGGTACTCAGTAAATATTATATAAATTGTATGACTTGGATAAAAGATCTAACCTAGCTATTGTATAGCTAGGGTATGTACACAATTAACAATTTCTTAAACCATGTGCAGTTTAATTCATTATGCAAAATATGAAAACTCTCCATTAAGTTACTGAGTTGTTCTGTTTTATGAAAATTTTGAGATATTTACTCTTAATGTATTAAATACCTTCAGTCCTATATCAGGAAAAGCTTTCCAAGAAATACATTAGCCATTGAATAATAATTATAATGAAGTAATAATATTGCCCTCATGAATTTTCCAGTTATTATTACCCTACAAGTAAACCCATGAAAACACATAAACCACTGATTTCACTTTACAATAAAAATGTCAAATAATTCAAATAAAATAGTATCTGTAAATAGGAAATATCACAGAAATATTACCATCACCAAGAAACCAAAATTTCAACATAATGCAATTCTAAGATAGAACCAGATTTAACAAGATCTGAATAAGACAACTTCCTAGAACAGCCTAAGACAACACACTATTACAGTCCCAGATCTTAAATTTTAGGGACTAGGTCAGTCTAGAGAGATCCTGGATAGCTTTCATTTTCCGCCAAATAGTTTACTGCCATTAGTAGGAAAAAACAATAATAATAATAGGCAAAGAAAAAACAAGAGAGAGACATGATCCAAGTTCCTTCTTGTCCCTATATCTTTTGCAGGCAATTAGTAGTAAATAACCCCCCCCCCCTGCAAAAAAAAGAAAACCAATGCGGGGGGGGGGGGGGGGGGGGGGAATCACCACAGATGCTTGAATAAATTATACCACCTCTGTAGTAAACAAGCAATAAACCAGTCTAACCAGTGTTCAAACCCACCAAGAGCCAAGTTATCAGGCCCCCAAAATATTTAAAGATACAACATCCCAGTTTTCAAAAATAGATTTTATCAACAACCAACCTTTAGTGATAAAACTAGAATCCCATCCAACTTCACTCACTTTTAGGTAAAATAAATGATCTTATGCTTTTAAAACATCTCGTGGTATGTTTTCCTATATAAAGTTTTTCTTTAAAGATTTATTTATTTAAGCATACAAGACCTGGTGTACAGGCCAGACATGTGGGGGGTGAGAGGACTCACCAGAGACAGAGAGGGAAACAGAACAGACAGATTGACTAAAGTACATTACTGAGGGGAGCAGCAGGCTAGTCAGGAGAGGTCTGTGCCACGTGGGTCACCTCCCTGGCCGGCCTGGTAATCAAACTTGTGCTGCAGTGGCTGAGGACAGCCTCACAGGCTGTCTTAACCCCTTGGGCCTTCAGGGAGGCCCTAAAGTTTTTGAACACTTACAAACCTAACTATTAGTGTAACTGCAACCACACTATATTTACTGTTCTACAATTTAAATGTCTGCATAAAAGCTCCTCACATGTATCAGGATTTATTTAACTAATCCCCTAATGTTGGATTTTTGGTTTTTGTTATAAAAACAGCTGCAAGGAACCTTTCTGCAGGAGTCTTTTTGTTTGGTCCAAAAAGGAATAAAGTTTCAGCATGGATGCCACAGTGAAAACAGTGTTAAAATATTAGATACTGTGCATTTAGATCTTTTTCCTTGGGTAATTTTTTGCCCTTTTTACTCAATGCTACAGAAGATAAACGAAAGGAAAAGACAACAAGTCTGTTATGTTCTTAACAGAATTTAAAAAGATCCAAAAAAAAAAAAAAACCACAACTGATGAACATTTAAACCATGTTACCCAGAAGCCTTTCTCAACTAAGGCTCCAGAGAAAATATGGCCATAAACCTAAGGTATCCACTCTGAGTCAGGAATCCTCTCTCCTGTGCACCCAGAGCCTAGCAGCTACGTACTATCATAGGGAAAAGTGAGGGAAAAGCCATTCAAACTACTGTTCTCAGGTTTTCATTCTCACAGAGCTCAGGGAGGGAAGTCCAACTCCTGAAGCACATTTCATTCGACTCAAATAAAGGAATACTACATGCTACATGAATACAATGCTACTTGCACTTCCACAGTTGGGCTGGTTTTTGGTTGTTTTGTTTTTTTTTTTAAAGACATTTATTTATACAAGAGCCAGGGTACAGACCAGATGCACGGGAGGGTGAGAGGATTCACCAGAGACAGAGCGGGGAGCAGAACAGGCAGACTGACGAAATACACTGCTGAAGAGAGCAGCGGGCGAGACAGGAGAGGTCTGCCTCGCCATATGGGACCCTCGCCAGCAGGCCGGGATCAGGCCGCTGGGATGAACCGGCGCTGCAGAGGCTGCCAACTGCTTTACAGCGCTGTGCTCAACCACCTGCGCCACCAGGGGAGGCCCTGGGCTGGTTTTAAGGCCTAAATAAAGTGCCTCACAAAAATGTTCCTTATGCTAAACTATAATTAAAGTGTAGCTACCTGACCAGTATACTCTGTGGCCTTACAGGTCTCCTATCCAATGAAACTGGTGCTGAAAAAACATATTCTAGATATTTACTAACAGGCTTTAACATGAAAATTTTACATACCGATGACAGACATATAAATGCTTATTTTATGTGCCAAAATATCATTAACACAAGACAGAAAACTAATTTGATAACATAATCAATGTCTACTGATAACAGTTATTGAGATTCCTGTATTATAACTGAAAAGGCAGTTTTCAAGTGGAACTGGAGATCATACCAGAAAGCAGTTCAGAGAACCCCAAAATGTATCCGTTGTATTTCAATCTCACCTAACATCAGATTAAAACCAAGTATATCTCTTTTTAACAAGCCAAATGGGAGAAAATACATCAAGTCAGTATTAAGCACATGACAGTAATTTCTCTACAGAATAAAGACAATGGGAACATCATCTTCTCGAGGTCTGATTCACAGTTTCCAAAACAAAAATATAATAGTTTTGCCAAAATGAACAAAATCGTTTCATGAAGGCTTGCCTATTTTTCTCCCCCAAAAAAAAAAAAATTAAGATCCATTAATGTCTTATAACACACCAAACCTAAATTTTTAAACCTCCGTCTTAAAAAAAATAACTTTAAAACAGCTGTATGCAGTGTTAGGGAAAAACTAATACAATGCAAAAAATAATTTAGAACTAGGACAAAACAGGAAAGATTCTCAGAGTTCTTTAAACAGGTGCTTTCCAAGCAAAGCAGGATTTTTTGGGTTCTATGAAAGTCTTTCATCTAGTTGAGCTGGATATATTTGTACACCTATGTCAGCAGTATTTTTAGACAAGAATATGCAATAAAAAGTTGTGAACTCTGGCTATTTATAGTTTGGTATCAACTTCCTAATCCATTTAACCATGACACCCTCTCCAGTAAGGCAGAGAACACTGAGTAAATGTTTTCTCAAGAATTTCAAATTTTCTGAAGTCAGTGAGGATCTGAGACACTATAAAAGTCAACGTAAAAACATTACATTGGGCGATACTCTATTTCCCAAATGAGACCTCCTTCTTCATCTACAATCCCATTAGGCAAATGAAAACTCATGCATCTGATGACTGAAGTGAAAGTTCAGTAAGAGAGCATCCTATGTTGTCCCATCTGAATCCACCGCCTCTGGAACTGGACACGAAGGGTATCATGACCAACTTCATAAAACTTTTAAATGCAATCAGATAAAGAGCAACAAAAAGCATACATTTTAGCAACGTGGAGTATAACAAGGTATAAGAAAAACAAGGTGAACTCTCCCCTCCCCAGCACACTGAAAACTCGCGCACGGTCGTGCACATCAGCAGCTCCCTCTGCTACAGGAGTTAAACAAATTGTCACATCCCTCTCCCCCTCCCTCCCCTTCCCTCCCCTCCCCTCCCCTCCAGAGAGGTCAAAGGGCTCCAGACGCGAAGACAACAAAACAAAAGCACGTGACAAAAGTTTCTCCCGACCCGGCCCGTCCCGCGGCCTACAGGTGCCCGGTCGGGTGCGCGCTGGGCCCCTCACCCCGGGCTGCAGCCCCCCGCGGTCGGGGGGCGCGCGGGGTGTCCCCGAGGGCCCGGCCGGGGGGGAGCAGCGGGCGCGCGGCCGGGCGGGGAGCGGGCGCCCGCGGGGACCCCGAGCGGGGCGCGGGGCGCGGGCCGCGGCCTGTTACCTTTTCCTGCTCCTCGCGGAGCCGCGCCACCTCCGGGGCGCGCAGGGGCGCCGCGCTGGCGGCCGCGGCCGAGGCGTGGGGCCCGGGATCCGCCGGGGCCTCCATGGCGGGGGTGCCGGGGCCTCAACGGGGCGAACGAGTCCTAAACCAGTGTTTATGGAGGCGGCGTGGCCGGCGGCTGCCCAGCGCCCGCGTGCTCGCCCTCATGCACCGCGCGCCCCGCGCCCAGGAGGCCGCGCCCGCTTTCCCCGCTGCCGCGGCGGCCGCTGCTCGCGTCCGGACTGCCCGCGCCCGCATCTCACACGTGCATGCCGCCCGTCGCCGCCGCCGCGGGTCGGAGCAGCAGGACAGCCGCGCGGGGAGAGCTGCCGGCGCCCGTCCGCAGGCCGGGCCCACCCCGCGTCCCGTGGCAGCCAAGCCTCCTCCGCGCCTCCCCCGGGCCCCGCCCCTCGCCCCGCCCCGCGCGGCACGCCGGGAAGCGCGCGCAGCCGCCGCCGGCGCTCACGTGACGCGAGCCGCGCGCCGGGGCGGCCGCGCCGCGGGAGCCGGGGAGTCGGCGCCCCGCTGGAGACTTTCACTCTAGCGGGGAGTCGCGGTGTCTTAGCGTCATGGCGGAGGAGCGCGGTCTTTTTTTTTTTTTTTTTTTTTAGGTTTTTTTTTTATAAATAAACGGGAGCTGGGGGACAGGCCAGAGGTGCGGGAGGGTGAGAGGACTCACCAGAGACAGAGCGGGAAGCAGAGCAGGCAGACAGATGGACCGAAAGCACTGCTGAGGGGAGCAGCGGCCGAGGCGGGACGCGCCATGTGGGTAGCTCCCTGGCCGGCCGGGGATCGAACCCGCGCTGCAGAGGCTGCGGACAGCGCCACAGAGCAGCGTTCAACCCTGCTCCCGCGTTCAGCGCTGCATCTGGTGGTGGGAGCTCCTGAAGGAAAGCTCCTCCAAAGCACGTTTAATTTTAACAAATTCAACCCTTTCTGTAGCTGTTTAATGAATTAAAATATGCAATTATATTTTGCCAGTGTATTCATGTGTGTCCACATTATAGTTTTTCCTTCTACAAAGTCAATGTGGGTATATTGTGTATGGATTATTCAAGATTTTTTTCAGGGGTACTTGGCCCAAGCATGTTCTCTTTCAGAATTCCTGTGCTTGCTTTCTCATACAGCCTTTGTACACAGTAGGCATGCAGTTGGAACTGAATGAGCTGCCTTGTGCTAACAACCATCTCTGCTCCTCGCCTAAGGGTAGGGAGAGTCCTATCCCTCCCCTGCTGTGCAGATGGTCAGAGACTTCCAGCCAGGGCCTTTCACACCCTGGTGTGCCACCTTGAATATTTCTCTTACCGCTCCTGTGGCAATTTGCATAAAAGAAAGAAGAAAGGAGAGCTGGGGTGTAGGGTAAATGGTTTGGTAGATGATTTTCAGGCTTTTCTGCCTTCCCAACATTAGGCTTGCCCTGCCTGATGGGGCACCTGCAATTGTTAGATTGTTGCAAACTGCCCTGTTTACTTCTGTGGGCCATGGGAGGAGTATTTAGAAATAGTCACCAAGAGAAGCAGAAGAGAGAGAGAGGCGGGAGAGAGAAGGAGAGAAAGAGGCCAGAGAAGCCCAGAGTGAAGGCTTGCCTGGGGCCTGGAGGCCTTCTGGCCTCCTGGCGCACCCCCACCCCCACCCCTGCCTGCCATGTACCTGGTTGCTGCTCTATATGTAACAGCTCAATAAAAGCCTGAGAAACCCACTAAGGGCTCTAAGACTCCTTTACCCGTCTCCCGGATCATAGATAACCTGCACAGTGCCCATCCTGCCCCTACATGGGGCAAATGTAAATGTTAATTTTTCTCTTTCCTCATTACATATTCAATATCATCATCTCTAAAACAGGCAGAATCTGCCTGTCTGACCACCTTTTCTAGCACCACCATCATCCCTCTATCCCCAGCCAACTGTAGCTTCTCTGGTCTTCCTGCTTCTACTCTTGTCCCCTGTAATAGACAGGATGGTAGCTGTCCATCCCTCATTCAGAGGGTCACCCCTGGCTCCCTGAGGTCCTGTGCCTGTGGGAAGATGATCCACTGCCAGCCCCAGTGTAAGCATAATGCATGTTCCTTGTGTTTCCTTCAGGAAAGGGCATGACTCCCCACAAATAGCAGTTTCCTGGAGACTTCTGAGAAAGCTCTTCTGGACTCGTTAGAAGTGCTTCCATAAGGAATCAATCCATACCTTGACCAGGAATAACAAATCATGTACTCTTGTGTTTTTCAGGTCTAGAAAGACCACCAGACACTTTCTAAATGAAGGGTGAAATTCACTCTGTAGCCAGCAAAGTATAGATGCAGAACCTAAGTCCTTGATATATCATAGCACTTGATTCAGGGCTGAATCAATCCAAATTTCTGCATTACCTCTGAACTTTCAATTAAAGAGGTCAGAAAATTTCCTGATGTAATTTTGCATCAGGGTTTCAACTAGCAGCCAGTGACAACTGATTCACATACTCCCAATCTAAGCTCAGCAGCCTGGGTGCACTTTTTAAAAAGTAATAAGGTTGTATCATTACCCCTTTTAGAGCCTTCTGAGACTTTCCATTGCAACTAGAATAAAATCCAGATGCCTTTCTATAATTCTGCATTATCTGATGCACTTTTCCCACATCCTTGCAAGCCCCCTGCCACTTATGCCAATTGAAACAGTTTCGCTTTGGACACTCTAGATCGCATCCTGCCTCAGATCTTTGCACTGGCCAATCCTTCTGCCTATGATAACTCTCCCAGATCTTTGCATGGTCAATTCGTATGCACAAGTTCAAACTCAGTTCAATGAGGACGTTCTCCTGATATTCTGACCATGGAAATCCCTCCCCTCTCCTCCGAGCATCAGCCAGTACCTCACTTTTCAAATTGTCTTCATAGCACTTATCACTCTTTGCAATGGTCAGTGTGACCTGTTTCCATGGTAAGTATCATCTCTCCACACTAGAATGTCAGTTCCACCAGGGCAGGGATTTGGTAAGCAGTCAATTAACATTTGCTGCTGCTCCCTACTAAGACCTGGAGTCTGGATGTTGTTGGCCTTTGCTGCATGACCTCCCATTGAATGCAAGAGATGTGTTTGAAGAGCAAAAAGCAGACCAGCTTATTTCAGAAGACTTCCTCTTCAATAAAGAATGCCGAAAGTGGCAGTGAAAAGGACTTGGACTTTCAACCCAGACACACCAGCTCTGCCCAACTTGCCTGCTGTAAAGTCTTAGGCAATTTCTGAACCTCATTCACCTGTACAACAGGGCTTAGAACAATACCTGCCCCAGAGTTATCTTGAAGAATAAAGGTGATTGCAAATATAAAAACCAATAGATATTTTCCCCATCTATGTAAACGCCTTCAAATTATAATCACATATTCAGGTGAACATCAGCAAAACACCTTCGATAAAGCAAAGTTAAATTTCAGAAAATACTTATTGACCCCATCCTTCCACACGCCAGGCCCTCCAGCGAGGGAGAAGAGATGAGTAAGAGAGGCAGGAGTGCTGTCCACAAGACTTGGATTCAAAAATCTTGGATGGGGCCTCCCTGGTGGTGAAGCTACCCTGTGAAGCTAACTGCAGCCTCTGCAGCATGAGTTCAAACCCCAGCGGGCCAGGGAGCTACCCACATGGCGCAGCAGACCTCTCCAAGAATCTGTTTCTCTCAACCTGCTGAGTGCCTACCCAGCCCCTGTGTTAGTCCTGACCCTCTGAGAAGCAGATGCCAAGACATGCTAAGCCCATCCGAAATTTACAAGGGGAGATACCTGTGAGGGCAAATGGAGGAGGATTGAGAAGAGGCCGGAGAGCTTTTTCCCACAGCATAGGCCTGACTCCAAATGCAGCAAAGAGGCAAGGAAGGAAGGAGTTTGGGTGGAAGCATCTACGACTGCAATGAAGTTCTAACAAAGTTTAGCAAGGCCACTGAGGAGCCTTCAAGTCATCAAAGGAGTTTTATGTATCCCAGGAAAGGGCCTGATTTGGTATCCCTGTAATTGCCCTCCTGTAGGCTGGAAAGTCTTAGTGAAAAGTTTCAGAGCATAGAAGCTGGGCCCTTGGCCAGTTACACCCCTGCAACCAGAGACCTGATTGCCCCAGTCCACACCACCCAATGACCATGGGGTGGATGTCTCCATGGGCTGGGTTGTTTGGATCTTTCTCAGGTAAGACCCTGAATTTTAAAATGAGAGGTTGCACCTAGAGATCTACCGGGCCAGATCTCTATATTAATAAGCAAAGAGGGCAGGAGGAGCTGGCAGACTGGAGATTCAGCCCATCTAAGGGGGTTACTGCTCCTCAGTTCTGACCAACTGTTGTTTCATGAGATTCAGCCCCACATGATCCCATTCTCCAGGAGAATTCAGAACTCGAAGCTTCGGTGTGGAATTGGTCAAATTTCAAATGTTGGCAAGTAACTCAGATTTAAAAATAGAATACAGCCATGCCCTAGCCCAAACCACAAGCATGTGGTGTTTGTTGGAGGTCAGTATTGAAGGAAGATTGAGACTCCCTCAGAGAGTGAAGAGTGGAGCACCAGAGAGGACCACTGGATGCTGGGCCCCAAGGCCCCCTGAGCAACCCCCAAGAGGATCAGCTGTCCCCACTAATGCCAGTCTCACTAGGGAGAGGGGGTGACCTGATGGCCCTGCAAGTGTTTGAGAAATCCCTGGCCCCTTTTCTAATCCTACCTCCTTTTCTTCTTTTTTTTTAAAGATTTATTTATTTATGCATACAAGAACTGGGGTACAGGCCAGAGGTGTGGAGGGTGAGAGAAGTCACCAGAGTCAGAGCAGGGAACAGAACAGGCAGACTGACTGAAATGCACTGCTGAGGAGAGCAGCAGGGCAGTCAGGAGAGATTTGCTGCGCCATATGGGTTGCCCCCTGGCCGGGGATCAAACTCGTGCTTCAGTGGCTATGGACAGCTTCATAGGTTGCGTCTTAACCCCTTGCACCCCCAGGGAGGCCCTCCTCCTCCTTTTCTTCTTGTGCTCACTTTAGTGAGTCTCTGGTCCTTAAAAACACTAATGTTAAAAAAAAAAAAAAAGAAAAAAAAACCACTAACACTACGTGAATTCAAAGATACGCCCTAGCAGCATACTGCGCCATAAAGCCACAATAATAAGACAATGTGGTTATGACA